CCAATTATCTATTTATGGGTTTTGAATGAAAATAAGCAGGAAAAATATTTGAGCAGTCAGAAACACATTTCGGTAAATTGAAAAACCTGTAGGATTCAAGAAAAAAACTAATATTTTCAGATGATTGATTGAGATTAATATGATTTTTTTCAATAAAAATTGATTTGTATTGTAATTGTATTTTGCTCATTTTTCTTGTTTATACATTTTTTCCTAAAATTCATATCACTCTGTATCATATATTTTTTTCTATAAAATAAATAATGCTTTATATTCATATAAATTCACACACCAGAGATACTCGGTTCGTACCATGGCACTGACACAGAATTGTCAGTTCATTGGATATGGAATATGATTACAAGTTAGAAAAAACAGAAATGTTAGAATTAGTGTAGGATGTATAAAAAATATATCAAAGTAGAGGCAAAGGTGTAAAAAATAAAAAATAGTAAATTAATAAGTAAATTAAGATGAAAAAGCAATTTTACAGAAATTAAATAGTTCTTCTAACTCTGCTAATACCAGATCAAGGTTATCTGTGTGATCTGTGTTATGTCTGTAAAAATGTACTCTCTGTAATATAAGTTTTAACACTTTCGACTCGGGAGTCGGACTGCCAGTCGGTACGCTGCGCTCGGAATATTATTGTGCTATACTTATCTCTCAACTCGTAATTTTTTTTTGTATCGGATTTTTTCAAAATGTGGTTATATTGCTTTTAAATATAGTTATTATGATAATAAAATAGAAAATTTTGAAAATTAAAAAAAATTGCACTCTATATTGTTTGAAAAATCATTTCTTCACAGATCTTTATTAGAATTATGGGGATCATGAGCTAATAAATTAATTTTGTTATATATTTATTTATAAAATTAATAAATTAATCAATAAATGGATGTAATAGTAAATTAATTTTCAAAAAATAAAAAAAAATTAAATGTAAGTTTAGTTTGCGACGAGTCGTCGCCGACACGATTTGCCGCCGGAGCGGCGGCATCCGAGCTTAACGGTAAAACATATCATGCCGCCGGAGCGGCGGCATCCGAGCGCAACGGTAAAATGACTATGCCGCCGGAGAGGCGGCATCCGAGTCGAAAGGGTTAAATTGGTTAAATAATATAGCTATTATTTTGTAAAATCCCTTAAAAACTGAAATACAACATTTGACCTGTTTGTCCCCAGCTAATAGGGCAAAAAATACATTTCTACAATGATGAATGAGTTGGGAGTTTCACTGAACATAGTCAGATTGTTGTTTGTTTGTTGTGATATAATTGGTTTGGTTTTCATGATATATTTTCTCAAAATTAAATTGAACCTTTGCGCCTCATCTTACTCTAGACTTGAGATTTTGTTGTATTTTATATTTTTACAATTTTTTACCAATTAATACCCAAGTTTGAGATTACATTCGAGTTCAGCGGTAAAAACTACATTGTAAAACAAATGCACACCTAATACAGACAATATTTTCATCTTCATCTGTGTACTTGACTATCTTTAGTCTTCGAATTGTTTAATTACGATACGAAAACAATTTCAGCAATTTGCCTCAATGTTCAATTTTATGCAGCAATAGTTTATATTTATATACCAACAAAGTTCATAACTATAGTGGTGAATGGCATCGTGTCTTAAGGGGGTATTCTACTGTAGAGGCATGAATTTCGCCCGGTTTTTGAAGCGCTGTATAAAGGAAACAAATAATATTTTTACTATCGATTTTTTTATCATTTGTTTATTGATATTTTATTATTACACAAAAAAATTATTAGAAAAAAAAATAAAATTCACAAAGTTATGAACAGTCAAAGTGGGGGCTCAAAAAAAGAGAGTGTCCTGGCGTGCATGATTCCCACCCTGCTGGTGATTTGAAACATAAAAAATAGATGGATTCTGATTATAGATGCCGCTATCGTATGACCCTTGGATAAGTTAAAAAAAAATTGTTTGAATGGCGGCAGTTTGAAAAAAAATATCTTTTTTCATGTTTTTTTAACAATTCCGAATTTTTTAAAAATACTAAATGAAAAGTTATAGTTTTGGGCAAGGTCCATACGATAAAGAGATGTATAGAAAAGATCCTCTCCAAATTTGAAGTAAATCGGTTCATTAGAATTTGGGATATCCTTACCGTCAGCTCGAAAAAAGTAGTTCCGAGAAAAACGCGTTCAAAGTTTTGAGACAAGTCGGACCCGAACCGAGGCCACGTCACTAAAACGGCTATAACTCACGAAATAATAGTAATTTTGAAAAATCCTTTCAATGACATATTTTTGAATAACTAAACTTTGGAAATATTAAAAAAAAATTCGATTTTTTCAAAATTCTACAGTAGAATACCCCCTTAAGGCAAATTACCGGAACTTCCCATACCGCAATAAAATATTTTGAGAATATTAAATCTTTTAAAACATATTATTATAAATACTGTAACTTTCAATTACTATAACTGACCATGCGGGAAGTTAAAAACCGTACCATTTAAAATTTCTCACACAAGTCAGGAAATCCGAAACTAGCCATCGCTAAAAAAGCACTTACTTTCCATATTTTCATATTATATTTCCCATGCACTTTTTTCCATCGGATCGGCCTTGATCGAAATCTCTGTTACCATTTAGCTGAATTTATGGCCTGCCGGATCCCCGGACTCGTAAATGGCATTTACGCACTATACTAGTACGACTGGCCTGCGGAAATAGAAAGCCTCCGGGCTAACGGAATAACGGAAACGTTATAACTGGTGAGCGGACGGTTTCCGTTGTCATTAATATAGTCTATGACTGTGTATAAATGGTAATTGATGGTATGGACTTATTGGTTTTTCATATTGGTTTTTGGAGAATTATGAATGATTTTTAACTTTCCGTAGGGTAAGTTAATGTATACGTCCAAAAATTGAATTTGAAAATTTGTGCATACCTTTCGCGTTTCGAAGGTTTTTGAACATTTTAGCATACTCTAGAAATAATTGATGTGTGTGTATGCATATGTGTATGTATATATGGATACTACTTAGCGTCCACAATTTCGGTCATACAGATTCAAAAAAACATACGATTCTTAATGATGGGGAGACATGCTAATTAGTTTTTGGCAAAGAAGGTCCAGCCAGTTTTTGAGAGCATATGAGCATACGATTCGAATAATTAAAAAAATAATTTGGATAATTGAAATTGTAAGAAGAACAGGTAATTAACTGTTGGCAGACAGGTCCAGCCATTTCGGAAATACAAAGCTAAAAATAGTGGTTTTTGAGAAAACGAAGCATCCGATTCGCATGATTCAAAAAATCTTATGCTTGTATTAACGAAACGATTATTTTTGCGGAAGATATTTTTATTGTTTTTTTTTTTAAATTTCTTCTCATGGTATTGACACCCTACCATATGTAGGTTTTGAGACAACTTTATGGTGTCGATATACAAGTATTTACAGACTTACAGCTGGGTATCTCGAATTCTGAGATTCTTAGCTAATTTAAGCTTAAATGACTGGACTAAAAATTTTAAAGTTCACTCGTATAATTCAAAACAATAATTGCAACTTTTAATAAGATCCTTTATTTTAACTCCGCTTTATTGAGTTTTGCCATTCACTTTTTATAAGCTCTTATATTTTGTCTATAAAATACAAATTATGAAAGTAACAGTATTTATAATAATCTTTATAAAAACACAGCAATTTGCCTTGGCACAATGCCAAACACCACTAATTAACTTCCTGTAGGGTAAGTTATAGTAATGAGTCAAAAATCAAAAATGAAAATTTTTGCAGATCTTCATGTTTCAAAAGTTTCTGAACATTTTGGCATACCTCAGAAAAAATTAATGTGTGTGCGTGTGCGTGTGTGTGAGTGTTTTGTGTGCATGCATTTTTTGTCAATTTTTTGAGGCGCACGAATCACCAGATTTGAACGGTTCAAAAAACATTCGATTTCTATTGATGAGGAGACGTGCTGATTGGTTTTTGATGAAGACAGGTAGAGCGGCTCCAGATATATGGAGCAAGAAGTGCTAAAAATGTCAGTTTTTAATAGAACGTATCAACCGATTTGAATGATCCAAAAACCATTCGATTTGTAATGATAAGAAAAAGTGGTGATTAAATTTTGGCAAAGGCTGGTCCAGCATCTTCGGAGACGTAGAGCTAAATGTGCAAAAAATGGCAGTTTTTGAGAGAACTAAGCATCCGATTTGAACGATTTAAAAACTTCTTGCTTGTGTCGACGAAACGATTGCTTTTGGGGAAAGTTATTTTTTTATTTCAATTTTTTAGCAAAAAAAATTTTTGTGATATCGAAAAATAATTCGGATTTTTATTCTAAATCTAGCTAAAGTTCTAAACGTCACTCCTATACTTCAAATAAATATTTTTAACTTTGCAATACGGTTTATATAATTCTTAGAAATATGAGATAAGATCCTTCACTCTAACACCGATGATCAAGTCTTGTTTATTTACTTTTTATAAAATAAGAATAATAAATATCCTTAGAAATATTCCTCGAATATTTCGTCACGGCACAGGAAGTTCCAGCAATTTGCATAAGGCACGATGCCATACACCACTAGTTTGTTTTGATTTAGTCACGTGTTTTATGACATGAGATAACAGCATGTCAATTCTCTTCAGAATAAGCAATCAATATATTATATTATATTCTGATAATATAATAACAATAACAATGATCTGATATATCATTGTCATTTTTGTCGTTACTAATTGCCACAGTAGATGTTACAACTAACCCTAAAAATGGTGTAAGTTGTAACACCGCACTTTTTCTAGAAAATGACTAATTGTGAAATAATAAAAAATAGTTATGGAATTATTTTGACTTGATTAGGCAGAGGAATAGTTAAAGCAGCTACCTAGCTTTGTTGCGTGGAAATGTAATCAGTCGATCCCAAGATATATTAATTTGAAAACAACTTTTACAAAAAGCATCTAGCTCCCCTATTGACAAAAAAAATTGATAAAAAAATCACCTCCCAAATCAGCCTGAAGTCGTGTTGTTCCACTCTCAACAATTCGCACGTCGTCCTGGTGGTGACAGTACTCTCCCGAGGAAGATCGTGCAGAATCGACTCTCCAAAAGTGGCCCCTACACCAAGACTGCATAGTGTCACTGGTATCTGAAATAAAAGAAATAATTGTCAATATACTACAGAATATATATACAAAGTTTAATCTATAAATTCATGTCGAGTCGTGATAAATGTACAACCAAAGATTTAATTTCAGATTTACCTTCGCTCTCGGTTTGAGATGATAAACCCCTTTCTGGGGCCACATAACCAACTGGCAGTTTAGCTAAGTAATTATTTCCAACTTGACATCGCAACAATGTATCCTTTTGCAAGATAACATAACTTCTTTACAAAACTTTACTTTACAAAACTTATAAAATGTTGCACGATAATAAACTTCACCTCGTGTCTTTTACTTTGTTCACAATCGTAATTACTTTTCACAAGATATCATTTCTCTGGTGTATTTCGTAAAGTTTTCTCAATCTATTTTAGATTTATAAAGGTAATTTAATTTTGTCGTACAAAGGAAAAGAAAACTGTTTTAGAACTGACAATTTAGAATACAATTTCTTATTAGATTCTCATACACTTTTCCCAACCATTTTTTCAGAACAATGTTTTATGTGAAGCTATTAAAAAAAAACAGAATCAAATAACTTGATAAAATATATATTTATCCTCTAGATGGAAAATTATGTTAAGTACACAATTTTCCCTTCATCTACATCAGCTTATATAAAACTCCTATATCTTTTATCATTTACTCCAACAATGTAAATCATAATGGAAAAGTTGAATAGTTCAGTAGAGCTTTTGTGTAACTTTTAGATTAATTTTACTATAATGGAAAAGCTCTTTTGATATCATTAGTTGAAGGGCACTTATATGCTGTATAAGGGCTTTGGAGCAGATTAAAATTAAATGATGAATGAGGTCAAATGGGTTATAGGTCAAAGATGGAAAAAATCAAACGGGATGGTAAAAGACAAAAGCTAGTATAAAACTGAAAATTATGACTATATGTATAGATACTAGATATATATTTTTATTCAAAGCACCCAAAAACATCTAACAATATTAACACTTGATTTAATTTAATATTAATATTTAACAATTAATTAATTTAAAGCTTACGATTGGTTCCATAAGGTTTAGGAACCTTTTTTGTTTTCTAAATATTCAAGAAAATGATGCACTTTAATAATAATAAGATTTAGTTTCAAAATTAGAATCTCTTTCCTAAATATTGAAATAAATTATTAAGTTCGTAATGCAACTAAACAATTTTTTTTTTATTTTACTATTGAAGTTTTCCTTGCAAATTTATTCACATATTTATTTGTTTATATTAATTTTATAATGTTATATGATTAGAAGTAGTTTATTTGTTCATCATTAAGTCCATCATATATTATATATTCTATATTAAGTTTAAATTAATCTCATTTCTTTCGTATCTCGTGAAAATTTAATCTAATTAGTTTAAATATTAAAGCAAGTTCAACAAAAAATTCATAAAATGTACTGACAAATAAATTTAATTTGCCTGTTTTGTGTGTAAATTTTAATATTAATTTTTATTCAAGTAATCATTATTAAGTTTTAAATTCTTTTCTTCCTTGTGAAACCAATAAAATTCGTTTGAATATTAGAAAACGTCTAAAAAAATTTTTTTTTTGTTTTGAGATTATATTTTAAAAAGTTTCCAATATTCTAAATTTGCTCTTTAGCTATTTTCGTTTTTTTTTATTTTATATGTTTTTTTCTCTAAAAACATTCAAATTATTGTGGTTATTAAAAAAGGTCTATAAATAAATCAGTAGATATTTTAAAGTGTTATATATATATATATATCTATATATAAATATAGAAAAAATCAATAATAAAATTTATTATTACTACTTGAAGTTTTAAGTATCTGCTCTGTGAGAAATAATAAACAAATAATTTAAATTGCCTTATTTTTAAATTAATAATATGATATAATAAATAATACGTTATTTTTTTTATTAATTTATAAAATTTTGACTTATTTCTTGTTATGATGTGAAATCATTTATTATAATACATATTTAAAAAAATATATTTCTACTTGAAGTAATAAAATTTTGATACACTGTGAGGAATTCTCATAAAACTAAATGTAAGTTATTTTAATTAAATTAATATTTACAAAATTTTACAAAATTTACAATATTTTACAAAATTTACAATATTTTACAAAATTTGAGTTTAAAAAAATTATTAATGATTTGAAATTTAGTATGAAAATCTATCATAAAAAATATAATAATGCGTTGATTTTTTAATTTTATTTAAAGATTAAAATCAAATTAAAAATTATATTTTAGCCTTTTATATTTTATTAATATTTTAAAATAAAAATATTAATTTAGCATATTATATAATTTTATATAAAATTATATTTTTTCACTTAAAATAAAACTCCAGTTACTGTTTATTTTGGGTTTAAGATTAGATTCCTAGTTTATGGACTAATTTTAGTTATTTTAATAACATTTATGACACAAAAATAGACAGAAACAGTATAAAGCAAATAATACATTTGGAATAATTTAAACTTGCAATTTATTTTAAGCGGATTTGTCTGCAAACTTTATGTACAGAATAGTTGTAGGTTAATCTCTTAGCAAAATATAAATTTGTTACATTCGTGTTTGGTTTAAACTCAATTCTAAAATAAATCTAATATAAATCTTGTAAATTATTAATTTAAAAAAAATGGCATAATTAAATCTTTTACTTGTAAAAATAGTTATGCAATTTCATAAAAATTTGCAAGTACAAAAATAGAATAAATTATCCACTATCTATTAATATTTCGAAGCATCAGATAATCCCCAGATGCATTAGATTTACATCTTTTTAATATTAGATAATATCTTATAAACATTTTCCATTTATCTTCTAAAGTCATCAAGGTAACATTTTCCCGACAAGATCTTGTAACACGACTGAAATTGAAAAATAATTCATGTTATCCTGAGTGATGCTAGAAACGAAATTGTTAAGAAAATTCCGAGGAAAACTCGTCGGATTAGCTGTCTTGCATTTTCCGAAGTAGACGAGAATTCTGTCTTGTGGAATTAGTTTTGAGATAAGATAGGATTTAAGATATCGATTTTAAATTAATTCTTGAAAAGGACTAATTGTGCTGGTTAATGATTCAATTTGGTATAGAACTAAATTTAAATAATATTCATGACATCAGTCTAAGATCCATGATAGTATAGCAAGATAAATTAATTTAGATTTATTTTCTATTAAAATTAATAATTTCTCAATATATATATATATATATATATATATATATATATATATATATCTTATAAACCAACTTTCGGAAGGTATTAATGTTTTAACTAGAATATACGATTTGCAAATTTTATGTATTCTCAATGAGTAGATAGTAAGGAATAGAAAAAGAAGAATGAAGATAAGTTGAGAAGTATATACAATAAGAAGAATTAAGAATAAAGAAGAAAGATGAAGAAAGAAGAATGAATTATAAAGAAAGATGAATGAAGAACGGAGAAGTAAAATTAAAAAATAAGAAGGAAGAAAAGTTTAAAAGTATATACGATAAGAAGAATTAAGAATGAAGAAGAAAGGTGAAGAAAGAAGGATGAATTATGAAAAAAGATAAATGAACATCGAATAAGAAAGATGAAAAAATAAGAAGGAATATAAGTTGAAAAGTATATACGATAAAAAGAAGAGGATTTAAACTAAAGAAGATAGTATAGAATATAAATGCATAGAAGTAATGTGGTAGATGGCTGGTCAAAAAAATACTATAGTAATTTTTTGCATATATATTAACTTGAATATATAAGAAAACAATTTCTTTAAGCCATATTGAAAGTCTCAAAAAAACTATTTTATGCAGAAGAACTGAAGACAAAGGTTTGTGAATCCCTGGTATATATATATATATATATATATATATATATTTTTACCTTTGATAACGTTAAGCACCTGTCAATGTCAGTTTTAATAAGACCACTAAGGTTTTCTTATGAAGGTTAATGGCATAAACAGTAAAAATAATCTCAGCAATTATTATTTGCATATTAAAAGTGAGTCACTTTTTTTAATTTTTAAAGCTTAGGATTTATAAAAACAAACAATAAATCTACTTGACTATAATAATTTTCTTGTTATTGATATTTATTTGCACATACAAGTCAATATATTCACTTATTATTATTATTGACTATTCATTTTTATTAAAAGTTTTGAGAAAATGAACTAGGATTTATTACTATTTCACTCTTGATATAATACCAGTATTATTTTTTAGCATTATTTCAAATAAATTATATATTTACTATTTTGTTATATATTAACTATATGTTTCAGATATTTTTATGTCGATTTTTTATATTTAATGATTAATTACTTTGATTTTTACTAAGCTTGTTCCTCAAAGTTACAATAAAATGAAATATTATTTTAATAATGTCTTGTTATAAATTCTAAATTTTAAAAATAGTGTGTCCATATAATTGTCAAATTACCAATATATTCATTTTATTGTTGGTAAAGATGTTCTAGCAGAATAATTCATACGATTTAATTAAAATATTAGTTTATCAGAAATTTGGTCAAGGACGTTGACTATTTATAAAGACCATAAGATTTTTCTTCTAAAAATGCGTTTTATATAATTTTATTTACTTTCTTATCAAAATATTGATAAGACGAATTAGAATTTACGCAATTGCTGATAAGGTTGCGAGATTCTTGTATGGAAAAATGATGAAATTTATATAAACTAGGTATAAGTGGCATTTTGACTCAATTTTGGTAATACATTTTTACAATTAAAAACGCACAAAAATCCTTATGAAGCTCTCATTGTATTTCAATACATGGTTTTAAAAATTTTAAGTAGTTTTACGAAAATCCATTTTTCAAATAAGCTAATTTCTGGGAAATAAATGTCAAGTTTTGGGCACTAATATGTCAATTTTTGTATACATTACTCTTTCCAATTTTAGAGTCAAGCGATTCAGAATGACTTGAAGCATCCAAGACACAAAATAAGCAAATCTAAGTTTCTAAATATTCTTTAGGGA